ATTAATTTCTTTCTAATTTTAGTAGAGACGGGGTCTAGCTCTTGCTCAGGCTGGTTTCGAACTCCTGAGCTCAAACGATCCGCCCGCCTCGGCCTCCCAGAGTGCTAGGATTACAGGCGTGAGCCACCGCGCCCGGCCGGCAGGTAACTATTTAACAACCGGCTCGCGAGGGCCGAGGCGGACGTGCGGTGCTTGCCGATCCCGTGGTGTGAACATTCCCACCGCGGCTGATTGCAACGTGAAATCCACTGGCTTGCAGAATTCCTGCCTATTTACGAGAGTCAGCTCCCGCCAGCCAGTTTGAGCCCCCTGTGGCCCACGGACATCAGCACCGCCTGGTTGTGGGGGGCGGGAGTTGGGGGAAACTCTGGTCCACAAGTCACAAGGGCAGGGACGCGGCCACTGGTCATCACTGGCCCCCAGCACCTGGCGCGGACTCTGCGGTAAGTATTTCTTTAACAAAGGAACAAATGTCCCCCCGGAACTGAGAGCATCACTCTTCTCCTGGGGACGGTCTGAGCTGTTGGGGGAACTTAGTCTTAGCCAGGACCTGCCCAGGTGGGGGGAGAAAAGCGTGTCCCCAGCACAGGTGTGACCTGCCCCCAGGGGTGACAGCCGTCCTCTGCTGTCGGGGAGGGACTGACCCCTCACCTGTAGTACGGATCCACGATGGACAGGAAGAAGACGTAGATGCCGTTCCTTTGGTCAAAAATGATCGAGTTCTGTGTCCTTCCACCCAAGATCTGGTACTGGACGTCTGGCCACTGCAAGGGGGTGATGTCTTCCGAGTCGTGGCAGCTCTTGTAGTTCTGGGGAGGGGGACAGAGCTGTGCCCACTGGCCCGGGGGGTGGGGAGGGGGCCCTGGCCCACCCTACTCCTCACAGGGCACCCGATGGGGGGAGCCCAGGACCAGGTGTGGGCAGCTTCGTGACCCTGCAGAGATGACTGGCTGCTCAGGCCCCACCTGTCCCGCCTACTTTCCCGGTCCCAGGCTGTGCAGGCTGGAGGCTCAGTCACTCTGCCGCCAGACTCAGCCAGGGTGTGAGACAGGTGCTGCCAACAGCATGGGGTATTTTTTTTTTTGAGACAATCTGGCTCTGTCGCCCAGGCTGGAGTGCAGTGGTGTCATCATAGCTCACTGCAGCCTCCAACTCCTGGCCTCAAACGATCCTCCCGCCTCAGCCTCCCAAGTAACTGGGACTACAGGCACACACCACCGTGCCTGGCTCACAATTAAAAAATTTTAAATCCTTTGGAAAAAAAATAAAAGCTGGGGCACATAAAGACCATGTGGTATAAAAAAGGAGGTGGAACTTAGGCTCGTGGCTCTTTTATGTGGGCGTAGCTATCTGTGCCTGATGGCTTTAAGCAGCTATATTCCGCCCAATAACTGTGCTGAAAATGCAGGCATGTGGCTGTCACCTGATGGAAAACCCTCATGTTCTACAAAGTCACCCACTCGCCAGGGCTGATGGGAAAAATACAAAAGTTGTGACAGTATAGTCTCTTAAATGCACACTCACATGCAACTGTGAACCAGACGGCCCATAAGAATTCGCACAATAGTACAGTGGGGCTGGGCGCAGTGGCTCACCCCTGTAACCCCAGCACTCTGGGAGGCCGAGGCGGGAGGATCACCTGAGGTCAGGAGTTCGAGACCAGCCTGAGCAAGAGCAAGACCCCTGTCTCCACTAAAAGTAGAAAAAATTAGCCGGGCGTGGTGGCACATGCCTGTAGTCCCAGCTACTCGGGAGGCTGAGGCAGGAGGATCGCTTGAGCCCAGGAGTTGGAGGCTGCAGTGAGCTGTGATGACGCCACTGCACTCCAGCCTGGGCGACTGAGCGAGGCTCTGTCTCCAAAAAAAAAATGCAAAAAGAGAAATGTTCACTGGGCAGAGCAGACCGGGAATGTCCGCGAGTCCCTTAGTACCGGGCATTTGGAGGGTGTCAGGCTTCTGCCCGTCATTGGCAAAGCCCCGTGAGGGTCTTGGGGACCACATTGCCCCATTGTTCGGTCCGTTGCGCATCCCCCGAAGGACTTTGGAGTCATACATTCCCGCCCTCGGCCCCATCGCCGTGCAGCGTCCTGTGCTCTCCCGTCCCCCCAGGGGGCTCCTGGTTCTTTGGGAAATAATCGAGGGGTCAGCGCTACCTCTCTGTCCCAGAAGGGCCCTCCTGTTTCCTGGATGATGGTGGTCCAGTTCTGCGGCTGGGACACGCACCGCGCCGCCTTGGCCGTCAGGGAGTAGGAGTAGGTGAACACCCCGCTCACCTCCCTCAGGACGTACTCGGCTTGGATCACCTCCTGGAAATGACCTTTTTTCCACCTAGGACACACGCACAGGGCATGGCGTCGGGGCTGGGGGGTGGGGGTGGGGCGACCACAGCCCCCCGGGCGTGTCGCAAAGCCATTCTGGGGCCGGGAGGCAGCGGAGAGCGAAGCAAAGGACCCCCTGGCCTCTGCCAGCTGAGGCCACAGTGTGCGGAGAGGTGGGGACAGAGGTGGGGACAGAGCCGGGTGGACGGGTCGGGGGTGGCAGCTGGCACTGGGTATTTTCCACCGGGTGGAAACCAAAGTTCTCTCTGAGAAGGGGTCAGATGAGCAGAGCTGGGGGAAAACCTATGTCATGCTTCGCAACCGAATAATGTCACAAATATTAACAAATAAGCTAACGAGCAGATAAAGCCCTTTGC